AGTTGTAAAAAGAAATCACACGAGATTGAAACGTATGCAAAAACAATTCCCTGTCCGGTGGCAAAAGCTGCTGGTGGCGCCAGAGGTGGCATTACAGCCTTAGCCACCGAAACTGTGTTACGTCCCCTGTTTGGAGGCTGACGTGGGCAGGGTATCGCACGTGTTTTCACACGTTGTTTGTAGAGAATTGAAATATCTTTAAGTAGAATTGTTTTTTCTTGTACAATCTGCTCCAAGCCAGAGTTTAATTGCCTTAGTCAAAAGCAAGAGAAGACTTTTTTTTCGGTTAAAACACAAAGGAATTATGGTTACTGTGCAGGGCTAATGAAACCTTTTAAATTGGTCAGAATCAGCTTAGCTAAGCTAAGGCCAGCAGTGAAAAAAAAAAAACTTATTTAAAATTATATACTCTTGTTGATTTCCACTAATATTTTAAAGGTCTCTTGTAGGCAATTTATTTTTCTGCCGAATGAATAAACTAAATACATTTTTGTACAATTTATTTCTCAACGGTGTTCAATTGAATTGGTAAGAAGCAAGAGAAGCCATTTTTTTTTCCGTTTAAAAAGCAGGAATTATGGCGGCTGGGAAAAGGTAAATAAAAACTTCTGCATTCATAGTTAGAAACAAGTTAGTTTAATGTCTATATTGTTTGTTGCTGTCGTTGTTGTTGTTGTTGTTTGCTATTAATTTAAAGTTATCTTCTCGCTTAGGCAGAATCAATTCTCACTTTAACATAATAAAAGAAATAATATAATACGTATTTAATTTGATGCCTGCTTCCCTAATCGTAGTTCCGTTGGATCATGCCTAATACCCCCCTCACTGCAAGTATTTATTGACTGTGTTGCTTTCTTGTAATATAAAGGATCTCCAAGATTTGTACGCATTTTTTTTAACATTTTAAAGTAGCCGAGACTGTTACATTGTCGATCAAAATTTGCCGCACATTAGAAAGGGCCGCCTGGATTTATATTACATATGTCTTGCACTTTCCTTTGAGTGATGACAGGTCAGTCTTCTCGCGAAAAATGTTAATTTGAAGATTTCAATCTTTTTCTTTTCTTTACCAATTCACCCAAACAAGGCGCTAACGCCACTAAGACGCAAGGTGGCTACTGAAAAGTGACAGAGAAAGAAGGCAGACAATTGCGTCCAAGATATATTTTCTTGAAGCCATAACATGGTGTTCAAAATATTTAGATTTCCCCATGTCATATGCCCTACTCGACGAATAATTTGTAACGCAATCATACGCCGACCAGGAGATATATATATTATCACGTCTATGGAGAGATACGGGCTATCTCTCCAAGACCATGACAAATGGAGAAATATTTTAAAGAACACTGTTCGATTGAGATAATCAAACAGTAGTCTTTTCCCAGGTTCGCTTCGGTTTCAACCCATGTACCGATCCACAATTCAAGGATGAACGATAAGGCGTAATAAATTTTGGTATAAGAATTTTTATATATATATATATATATATATATATATATATATATATATATATATAAGATATTACAATAAAAGAAAAATATAAACATGAGTAAAGCATCCGACGACCAGAACCTCAAGACTTATGTTGGGATACCAAAATATGCCCAAATCCAAATGGATTCGACTGAACCCGAACGGATAAAAAAATAAGTATGAATAATTACGAATGCAGAAATCAAAGCATAACCAAATAGGGTTAGGATTTACATATTTCTATTTTGACATGTGGAAAGGTGTTTGTGAGAACATAAAATTTATGGATGCATGTTTATCTTTCTAACACGGGTCCAAAATAGATAGTTACTTATCTTTATATTCAGTTCTCTCTCTCTCTCTTACTCATTGTCCTTTCTTTTCTCTCTCACGTTTCCTCTTTTCTTTCTTTCTTTTCTTTACACAAATTCAATTTCAAACACGGTCCGGCTGCAACAGAGATATATACTTTCTTCTTCTCTCTTGTTTTCTCTTTTCTTTCTTCAAACACAGGCTGTATTCTCAGCGTGCAAATTTCCTTGCGTCTTCTGTGATAAATAACTCGATTTATCTTCTTCAATCTGGAGTTGACGAAAAGAAATATACATCCTTATATTTCTTATCCGGAGTTGCTTACGATTGAATCGGACACGTTCCATCATTACCAAAATGAGTCTCATCTTTCCGTTCATAAGTTATCAGCGCTTCGATTTCGAGTCTTGCTCCTTCAAAGACAAGACAGCAACTGACTTCCAAGTAATTGTCTAATTCCCACGTGTCCTGCATTTTGGCGCGAATTCCAGTTCCTGCTGCTTCACGATCTTAGTATAAAGGAATTTAACATTAGCCAGAAAGAGGCTTACGCAGGAGCGTCTCTTTCTTTTTAAATTCTGGATTTAATGCAACAATGAAAACTATCATCTCGCTTCAATTTTGCCTTGATAAAGTCGGAAGACGAAACGCGTTGGCAAAAACTAAGAATTTTTCCAATTGTCATTCTTATAACAATCTGTCTTATACACAAAATTATTCTGGGAATTTTACTATGTGTGTGTTTTTTTTTTTTTTTTTTTGTGTGTGTGTGTGTGTGTGTGTGTGTGTGTGTGTGTGTGTGTGTGTAACAGCGGAATTGTGGGTGTAACAGCAAAATTGTCCAAATCTAAACTGAGTCTCTTTTATCCAAGTTTTCAGATGAGATTTTTCGCCATCTTGACACGATTTGTTGTAAGAATCACTGAAAAACCGTATGAGTATTTAAACTAATAAAAAAAAACAAACAAACCAAAATGAAATCTTTCATGACATGAAAATATATAATATTGTAAAATTCCCTGAACAATTATGTGGATAAAACAAATTGTTATAGGAATCACAATAGGATAAACATTTTAGTTTTTGCCGACGCGTTTCGTCTTCCGATTTTGTCAAGGCAAAATTGAAACGGATAAAATCAGAAGACGAATGGCAGCGGCAAAAACTAAAATGTTTTTCCTATTGTCATTCTTATACCAATATGTCTTATCCACAAAATTGTTCTGTCAATTTTACTATATTGATGACATGAAAAAAAAATAACTCTCAGCATAAAGGAAGTTAACATTAACCAGAAAGAGGCTTACGTTATAGCGTCTCTTTCTTTTTAAATTTTGATATTTAATGTAACTATGAAAACAAAAACATTTCGCTTTCATTTTTGCCTTGATAATACCAGGATGTGCTGAAAATCTAAAGCCGTGAAATGTTGCATGCATTCATTTCTTTTCTTCGTCTGTGTTTAATCTATTCTGGTACATTCGTTTCTTTCAATGTAAACTCATATTTGACTGTTCAAATAAAACTTCAAATGTTACTAGCAGCAACTTCTCTTGTAAATGGACAAAATCTGACATTGTAGTGTTATCATGTACTTCCAAAAAAGGCATTAATTCCCAGGGATATTCATGCTGATATTGTTGCTATATTACGGGATAACATTCCAGCTTTATCAACAGTACAGAAGTGGACAGCTGAATTTAAACAGGGAGAGCCTTGAAGATGATCCAACGTCTGGATGTCCTACAATTGCCACCACAGAGCAAAACATTGATCATGTTCACCACAGGTTGATCGATGACAGGCGATTGACTATAAATCATATACCCAATGATATTACCATATCCTGTGAGAGTATTTGCAATATTCGGCACAATGATTTATAGCATTACTTGGAAGGAAAGTGTGTAGAGTGTGGTCGTCTCACTGCACCACAGAGGTTCCATCATTGACCATATCTTGTGCAGCAGTTTCTGGCAAATCACAAAATCCTCCACGTCCGAAAAACACCATATTCACCAGATATCGACCTAACGACTTTTCACTGATCAAAAATCAAGTCCCAGTTGAAAGAAGCAATATTTCAAGACGTCGAGGAGACAAGAGAATGCGACCAGGATATCACAAAAACGGAGTTCCAGGAAAATCAAGTCCCAGTTGAAAGAAGCAATATTTCAAGACGTCGAGGAGACAAGAGAATGCGACCAGGATATCACAAAAACGGAGTTCCAGGAAAATCAAGTCCCAAAATTTCAAGACGTCGAGGAGACAAGAGAATGCGACCAGGATATCACAAAAACGGAGTTCCAGGAAAAAGTTATAGGGAAGCCATGTCACATCGGTGAGAAAGTGACTGATGTAGATATCCCAAGTAAGATTGGATTACAGATCTTTCAAACTTATCAACTTTGTGCGTTATTTAATACCGAAACAAATTTTGTATGAGTTGTAATAATGGCTCATTTTGGGGAGTGAATATTGCATCAACAAGCTCTTTTAGAATAACAATGATTATTGCAGAGACAAGTATTACTATTTAACCGATAGCTGGGGGAACAGACGGGTCCATACATATTAGCCAGATCTCGCCCATTGCAAGTTTTTCCTCTTCAAAAATTAAATCCCACTTGAAAGGAGTTTTACTTCAAGATGTCGAGGAATGTCAAGTGAATAAGACTAGGCGGCCGCTTGCTATCCCAAGCGCGCTAGGAATGCTCCTATGTATGGAAACGACGCTGGATAATGTGTGTGATTTCAGAGGGGGTTGGCTACTTTGAAGGAGATTAATTGGAGAAGGGATATATATTGTAGTTTTCTTTTTCTGTCACCAGTCCCGATACTTTTTGATCAGCCTTTCGTATTTTATTGACTGTTCAGTAACAACTTATATAATTTCGGAATGGTCTTTAAAAAAATGGACCTTAAATGAAATTTAATAAGAAAAAGAAAACAAAATAGTTAATAGATTCGGAAGAAACGTAGACAGGCAGACGACAGCCATTTTGATGCCTCATACGACGACAGTATATTAGGCCAAGAGCAGTAAAAATTCTTTTCTGCATTGACGAATATTTGAACTTATAACGGCGTAAACGATTCCATAGATTTTAATAACCTCCAAGACAAGTCTTTGGTATTTTGTGATTACATTAAAGTTAAATTGATCGTAATAATTAAGAGACTTTATGCATAGAGTTTTATATTTTTAAAAAATGGTCTTTTCTTCTTCTTCTTCTTCTTCTTCTTCTTCTTCTTCTTCTTCACCACCTCCGCCTCTTCCTCCCCTCTTCTTCCCCTCTTCTTCTTCTTCTTCTTCTTCTTCTTTTCGTTTCCATTTTCTTTTAAACTTTTTAATGATATTTGCATTCTTTGTTAGTCTTAACATCGTTCTGTAGAACCACATTTCTGTTGCCTCATGTCTCTTCTTCGATTTTCTTGTTTCTTTATACTTTGCTCAGCTTTTGCAAGGCATATTTCGCTATACCAACGCACCTTCGTATTTCGATATCATACGTTTCGCCTTCTGATATGACACATCCGAGATATTTAAATTTTTGTACTTGCCTGACTGTGGTTCCAAATAAATTTTGTCTTTTTCTTATCACTCCTAATCCCTCCTAATCTCCTCTGATCCGTCCTAATCCGTCCTAATCTCTCTTAATCCCTCCTAATCTATCCTAATCCTCCCTGATCTCTCCTAATCTCTTCTAATCCCTCCTAAGCTCTCCTAATCCCTTCTAAACCATTCTAATCTCTCCTAGTCCCTGATTTGCCAACCATTTGCACAAGCGTGTTCTTCTTCAATGTGCTGTATCCCTTCAGGGCGTAGGGATAATGGCACTTCACAACGTCCTCTTAGTAGTCTAAGGCTATGCTCTGCTTTCCTCTCCCCATCATGCCTTAACATGTCCTGTGAGTGTCAAATTTTCTATGCCTTCTTTCCTTGTTATATGACCTAGAAATTTCAACTCTTTTTTTCTGATGTTAAACATTTGGTTTTCACTTTCTTTAAAACCTCGTCATTGCTCACATGTTCCATACATAGTATTCTCAGCATCCTTCTGTAGAACATCATTAAGGTTGCTCCTAGTATTTGCTTCCGCTGCGTGGACGTTGGCCATCATTCACTGCCATAGAGAAGAACCGATGTTACATAATAGTTAAGTTCTCACTTACATTATTTACATTGTTCGGACTGTTGTCCTAATCTTTATTGTCTTGTTCACAGCGTTTCGGCCATTGTACGATCCAGCCTTCTTCTGGATCGGTCTATATCTTTGAGATGAGGTATTGTAATTATTTACATTGTTCGGACTGTTGTCCCTATCTGTCTTGTCTTGTTCATGACGTTTCGGCCGTTGTACTCTGCGGCCTTCTTCATGTGACTAGAATTGCGAACTGAACCCTTTATTGTCTTGTTCACAACGTTTCGGTCATTGTACGATCCGGCCTTCTTCTGGATCGGTCTATATCTTGTCTTTTGAGATGAGGTATTGTAATTATTTACATTGTTCTGGACTATCTTTGAGATTATTGTAATTATTTCATTTTCTTGTCTTGTTCATGACGTTTCGGCCGTTGTACACTGCGGCCTTCTTCATGTAACTGGAATTGCGAACTGAACCCTTTATTGTCTGGTTCACAACGTTTCGGCCATTGTACGATCCAGCCTTCTTCTGGATCGGTCTATATCTTTGAGATGAGGTATTGTAATTATTTACATTGTTCGGACTGTTGTCCCTATCTGTCTTGTCTTGTTCATGACGTTTCGGCCGTTGTACCCTGCGGCCTTCTTCATGTGACTGGAATTGCGAACTGAACCCTTTATTGTCTTGTTCACAACGTTTCGGCCATTGTACGATCCGGCCTTCTCCTGGATCGGTCTATATCTTTGAGATGAGGTATTGTAATTGTTTACATTGTTCGGACTGCTGTTCCTATGTTTCTTGTCTTGTTCATGACGTTTCGGTCGTTGTACCCTGCGGCCTTCTTCATGTGACTGGAATTGCGAACTGAACCCTTTATTTCGTCCACCTGGTTAGATTGTTCTAGTTCCACGTGCCATGTCTCAATGATGTCCTTTCGCTGAATCCAATCAACGCTTTTATCCACTGGGCCATACGACCTTGGGGACAGCTGTATAAAAGCGTTGGTTGGATACAGTGGTTTGACGAGAGAGACATGGCATTTGGAACTTGTTGTTTCCTTTCTATGTCCGCCATCAACCCTGGGTCATCTGCACGCCTTATATTCTTCATATTGTGGCCACTAAATATTTTCTTGGATATGTCTGGGCCGTATTAGTTAGATCACTATGTCAGAAACGGGTGAAACCTGCTTCCTGTAACTCTTCACTGCAATTTCTGAATTAAACCATGGCCAGAATTTCACCAGCCGAATATTTTCGAGCTTTACCCGACAAAGAGAGCTCAATAAACGCTGGGGGACTATTGACTACGTCTTAATGCATATGCATTCATTAAACAAACAACGTTCCTCCCAACTCTAGTTTACCGGTCCCCTAACGAACACAAAGGTCATGCGGCTGAGTTAAAGTTCCACTCCTACAAGAAATCAAGTTCTACCGGACAAGAAGTCTTCTGGGGCTTACTGCCACGTCACGTTCAAACAGTGCTTTGCATACGGTCGCCGAAGTTAAGAAACATCGAGGCTGGTCATGACCTAGACGGGTGACCATTTCGAAATACCTGGTGCTGTATGCTGGGATGTCTGTCGGTAGTGTAATGGATAATGGATCGGAATTGTTAGTTGAGTTCCAATTCCCGTTACAATTACTTAAGCGCAAATACACTTGGGGAAGGTGTGAATTCATCTCTTCTCCTCAGCTGTGGGTTAAATAGTAAATGAATGAAAAAGAAAGGAAAAATAAAAGAAAAAAGAAAGAAATAGCAAAGTAAAGAATGTGAGAAACATAATGTAAGCGAAAAAGAGAAAGTCTAAAAACACAATGTAAGAAAGAGCGAATAAGACAAAGAAAGAAACCATGAAAGAAAGAAACAATGAAAGAAAAGAAGAAAGAAAGGAATAAAGAATGTGAGAAAGATAATCTAGAAGAGAAAGAAAGAAAGACTCATTAGACAAAGAAAGAAAGAAAGAAAGAAAGAATGTGAGAAAGATACTGTAAGAGAGAAAGAGACAATGTCTAAGACAAGGTAGGAAAAAGTGAATAAGAAAGAAAGAAAAAAATTAAAGTAAGAAAGAAAGAAATAAAGAATCTGAGAAAGATAATCTAGTCCCTGACATCCCCTTTTGGGGATGTCAGGGACTCGAAGCTTGAGTGTGCGAGTGTTGTAATAGATAGTGGTTGAGTTCCTGTAGGATTCGTTAATTTACGCGTAAATCAATATAACGAGCCCAATGGCAATGGTTTTTCAAGAGATGTGTTTTCTACGGTATATCAACAATTTTAGGTTATTTAAAGCCATGAGATTTTTTTATAAAGTATGATTTTTCTTTTTACAACAATAACGGTTCAGAGATACAATTCAATTCGGCTTGATGTGAGCGTGGCCGAGATCAAATCCCAGTCGAGTTTATTATATTCACTTACGGGCTAATACACTTGGGAAAGGCATGAATCCAACTCTCCTGGCGTGAACAGGCGCGGATGAGTAATGAAATGCGACTCGGATTGAGGAATCGGAATGCAGAGTTCGAATTCCAGTCGAGTTCATTACATACACTGACGTGCTAATACCATTGGGAAAGGCATGAATCCAACTCTCCTGGCCTGAACAGTCACGGATGAATAATGGAATGCGACTCGGATTGAGGAATCGGAATTCCAGTCGAGTTCATTACATTCACTTAGGTGCTAATACCAAAGTGGAAAGGCATGAATCCAACTCTTCTGGCCTGAACAGGCACAGTAGAGTAATGGATTGCGGCTTGGTTTGAGGAATCGGAGAGCGGAGTTCGAATTCCAGTCGAGTTCATTACATTCACTTATGTGCTAATACCCTTGGGAATAGCATGAATCCAACTCTTCTGGCCTGAAGAGGCACGGTGGAGTAATGGATTGCGTCTCGAATTGAGGAATCGGAGAGCCGAGTTCGAATTCCAGTCGAGTTCATTACATTCACTTACGTGCTAATACCCTTGGGAAAGGCATGAATCCAACTCTTCTGGCCTGAAGAGGCACGGTGGAGTATTGGATAGCGGCTTGGATTGAGGAATCGGAGAGCCAAGTTCGAATTCCAGTCGAGTTCATTATTTTCACTTAGGTGCTAATACCCTTGGGAAAGCTATTAATCCAACTCTTCTCCCTAGCTATTGGCAAATAGTTGTAAGCCAGACGGATTCTATAGCCTTGTGTGCCAACCAGTCTAAGAGAAAGAAAATTCTGAATTCAAAACTGGCGATGTACGTTCTATGCAGCTAAAGATGATTGAAGATGATCCCGAATACTACTGATATAAGTCTTACTATTTAACCCACAGCTGGGGCGAAGAGGTGAATTCATACCTTCCCCAAGGGTATTTGCGCTTGTGATTGCAACGGGAATTGGAACTCGTCTAACAATTCTGTTCCATTATCCATTACCCCCACCCACAGACACATCACAGCTTACAGAACCAGTTATTTTGCAAATGGTCACCCGTCTAGGTCATGACCAGCCTCGATGTTGCTTAACTTCGATTTGTCTGGTAGAACTTTGCCTCAGCCCCCGCCAGATGACCTTTCGCCATCTTGCATAAATATGAAATGTCCCTGGCCATCTGATGACGGTTTAAAATGCGAATATCCCACCTAAGGATCGAAATATACTTGGCAACAAGGCCGAACAACCAGTGCACGAAATTGCTCTCCAGACCGTTACCAAATGCTCATGTGCTTGACAGTTGATTGCAGGCAGGTCATAGAAAAAAAGGGTACAAATTATGGGGCACCCAGTGAGAATCGTACTCACTACTCAGTCGTAATTGATCTCTCAAGACATGTTTGCTAACCATTATGCCACGTTGAAGTGTCCGTTGTCTCTGTATATTGAGTAACGAGAAGTATGTCACCAAGAACCAAAAATATTTTTTAAAGAATTTTTACAAAGAATTTTAGTATTTCGTTTGTAAATGAATAATTTTTCCTTCTTTCTTTCTTTCTGTCTGTCTTTCTTTCTTTCTTATTCGCTCTTTCTTTCTTTGTTATTAGACTTTCTCTCTTTTTTCGCCTAGATTATCTTTCTCACATTCTTTATTTCTTTCTTTCTTACTTTAATTTTTTTCTTTCTTTCTTATTCACTTTTTCCTACCTTGTCTTAGACATTGTCTCTTTCTCTCTTACAGTATCTTTCTCACATTCTTTCTTTCTTTCTTTGTCTAATGAGTCTTTCTTTCTTTCTCTTCTAGATTATCTTTCTCACATTCTTTATTCCTTTCTTTCTTCTTTTCTTTCATTGTTTCTTTCTTTCATGGTTTCTTTCTTTGTCTTATTCGCTCTTTCTTACATTGTGTTTTTAGACTTTCTCTTTTTCGCTTACATTATGTTTCTCACATTCTTTACTTTGCTATTTCTTTCTTTTTTCTTTTATTTTTCCTTTCTTTTTCATTCACTCTTTCCTACCTTGTCTTATTAGACATTGTCTCTTTCTCTCTTACAGTATCTTTCTCACATTCTTTCTTTCTTTCTTTCTTTCTTTGTCTAATGAGTCTTTCTTTCTTTCTCTTCTAGATTATCTTTCTCACATTCTTTATTCGTTTCTTTCTTTCTGTTTTATTCCATCTTTCCTTCATTATGAGACTTTCTCTTTTACATTATCTTTCTCTCATTCTTTGTTCCTTTATTTCTTTCTTTCTTTCTGTCTTTCTTTCTTTCTTATTCACTCTTTCTTTCTTTGCCTTATTAGACTTTCTTTCTTTTTATCCTACATTAAAGTATTCACATTCTTTCTTTCATTCTTATTCTTTATTTCTATTAAACTTTCTCCCCACCCCTACTTTATCTTTTTCAAGATTCGTTTGCTTTCTTTCTTTCTTTTTTCCATTTTTCTTCCTTTCTTTCTTTTTTTTCTTTCTTTCTTTCTTTCTGTTTTCTTTCTTTTTTCTTTCTTTCTTCATTTCTTTCTTTTTTCTTTCTTTTTTCCTTCTTTCTTTCTGTTTTCTTTCTTTCTTCCTTCCTTTCTTCCTTTCTTTCTTTTTTCTTTCTTTTTTCCTTCTTTCTTTCTGTTTTCTTTCTTTTTTCCTTCCTTTCTTTCTTTTTTCTTTTTTCTTTTTTCCTTCATTCTTCCTTTTTCTTTCTTTCTTTTCTTTCTTTTTTCTTTCTTCTTTCTTTTTTCCTTCATCCTTTCTTTCTTTCTTTCTTTCAAACTCACTCTACACTTCACTTCGTTTCTCACACGTTGTGTTTTGCTTTTATTTACATCTGTTTTCTCTCACCTTCTCACACTCATTTTTTCTTACTTTTTTAGTCTGTCTTTCTCTTTCTACCCCCCCCCACTCTCTCACACATTCTTTCTTTCTGCTTTTCCATTTTTCTCTACTTTGGGTCTTATCGTGTTTCTCTTACTTCTGCTCTGTCACCCTTGCTTCCTTTTGCTTTTGTCTCTTTCTTCCTCGCTCTCACATTCTTTCCAATTCTTTCTTTCTTTTTCTTTCTTTCTTTCTTTCTTTTCCCTTGTTATTTTTGCTCCATGTCTTTTCTTTCTTTTCTTTTTCTTCCTTCTCTTTTTTATTTTCTTCTTTCTTTCTTTCTTTCTTTCTACTGGACTCACTTTCTCGCTTTTGTTTTAAGTTTCTCTCTTTCACACGCTATCATTTTCTCTTTCCTTTTTTCTCTCTCTCTCTCTCTCTCCCAGACTCTTACTCTCCCAATCTCTTACTCTTTATTTCTTCCCCCCTCATTATTTCCTTTCTTCCGCTCTTCTCCCGATCTTTCTCTCTCTCTTTCTTTAGCTCGCTCAAAAGAGCCCTCTCTCTTTTCTTTTTCATTCTTTCTACCTCTCTCTCACTCCCTCTTTCATTCTTTCATTTTGTCTTTCTTTTTTTCTTCTTTCTTTTTTTATTTTATTATCTCCATGTTTTTTCGACTATCTTTTCTCTTCATTGTATCTGTTATGTCCGGCATTGTGAACGTTAAAGTAAATTGACTCGCCTGAAAAAAAAAAAAACGATTATGAATATTCCACTAGAATACTGTTTTCTATACGCACGTTCTGATTACACCAATATCAGGGTTCTTTTTATTAATTTTATTTTTAAGGAATTATAAAACAAAACCAAAAAAAAGAAACTATAAAAAAAAGATAAAAAGTACAACACTGTTTCTTCTCCATTTTCGTAAAACATGGCCGAACAATTGCTGCATTGTATACGAGACATGCGCACCAAGTCTCGTTCCGTTTGTTTAACTTGACTTTTACTGTTTTATACCAGCATTTTTTTTTTAATTTTCCGACATTCTACGGCTTCGTCGCTCATGCAAAGATAATTATTGTGACATTTTTGCACTGATATCTTCGTTCCTGAAGATTTTTCAAAACGTCTGTTATTTTTGTAACCTGAAATTCTAAGATTACCTTCTGCAGCACAGACCGGCAAGCAAACGTTTTTAACTTAAGTTTGGCACAAGATCATGAAATTTGAAAAATACAGTTTTCACCATTCTTCTTTTATATTGGAACAAACTTCAGAGAATTTCTGGACCGAGGAATTATAATTTCTGTTATTTCCAGTCGTTTCAATCTCAGGTTATCTTTAACTTAAATTGTTTAACGTCAAGGAAGGCGATAAAGACACTGAGACGCGAGGGTAAAGAAACTGAGAATAAAAGACAATAAAAGAAACGGATTTCTAAAACATAGAAGATGCCAATTTAAATTGCATGTAAATTTTTGAAGATCACCAAGCGTAGAAAATGGCAGACAGTTCCACAGGCGAGAAAAGAAACCATTATAATAAAACATAGGGGAACTTTTATCAATTTGAAAAGTAAAAGAGTGAGACCTATCTGCCAATCAAGTATTACCGTATTTACTCACATATCATACGACTTTCGATGACCTAATTTTGAAGCTAATTTTAAGGGTGTCGCATCCTACAGAAGGTATAAAATTAGCATATATACTGATGGCCCTTAGGGTACCTTGACGTGGTGTAATGGTTAGCAGTCTTGTCTCGCTAAAACAGTTACGATTGAATAGTGAGTTCGATCCTCACTGAGTGCCCCATACTTTCGGCCTTGTGCTTGGAAAATCAGTATAACGTTGGCATTTGCTACGCCGTTGATCAAATAATATATCCATTTGCTGTAGTCAAATTAGCTTCAAAATTATGTCTTTGAAGGTCGCACGATAAGTAGATACGGTAAATAAATATATCCTTAGATATAACGAAAGGAAGGGATAGTAAAAAGTGAGGGATCAGTCTAGTATTGTTATTTAGTATTAAACTCATCCCCCATTCCTTGGCCATAGTAGATTCATAGATGAAATTCCAAAACATCCGTATAGGTACTCAAAAGAAAGAATGATAGAAAATGAGGGATCAGTTTTGTATTGTTCTTTAGTATTAAACTCATCCCCCATTTCTTGACCATAGTAGATTCATAGATGAAATTCCAAAACATCCTTTTAGGTACTCAAATGAAAGAATGATAGAAAATGAGGGATCAGTTTTGTATTGTTCTTTAGTATTAAACTCATCCCCCATTTCTTGGCCATAGTAGATTCATAGATGAAATTCCAAAACATCCTTATAGGTACTCAAATGAAAGGATGATAGAAAGTGAGGGAACAGTTTTGAACGGTCTTTTAGTATTAAACTCATCCCACATATTTTTTGGTCACTGTGTATACTAAGAATTTTTATAATAAAGACAGGATTTAAGTAACTTCCAAATTAATTTTCATAGGTTGATTTGTTATATATATATATATATATATATATATATATATATATATATACGATACGCGAGTATATACAGTAACTAAAAAAAATCTAAGGAAGGGATGGTAAAAAATGGGGGATCATATTTATATTGTTCTTTAGTAATAAACTCATCACCCATTTCTTGGCCATAATAGATTCATACATGAAATTCCAAAACATCATTATAGGTACTCAAATGAAAGGATGATAGAAAGTCAGGGATCAGTTTTATATTGTTATTTAGTATTAAACTCATCCCCAACTTCTTGGCCACTGTATTAAAGGTCACTTAATACGTGAGGATATACGGCAACGAAAAAAATCCTCATAGATAATCAAAGGAAGGGATGGTATAAAATGGGGGAACAGTTTTGTATTGTTCTTTAGTAATAAGCACATACCCCATTTCTTGGCCATAGAAGATTCATATCTGAAATTCCAAAACATCCTTATAGGTACTCAAATGAAAGGATGATAGTAAGTGAGGGACCAGTTTTATATAGTTCTTTAATATTAATCTTATCTCACATTTCTTGACTACTGTATATGCTAACAATTTTTTATAATGTGGACAGGATTTAAGTAATTTCCCAAAATATTCTTGTAGGTTGAGTAGGGTTATATATATATATATATATATATATATATATATATATATATATACACATATATATATACACTCTCGTATCATGCAACTTTTGAAGCTAATTTTATGTGGACGACGTCATACACGAGTTGTAGTTAGGTCATAGAAGAAAATGGTACAAAGTATGCGAGGAAAGCCTTTTGTTAAGTTCTGCCCGACCCAAGGTTTACTTTCGGTTTGTGGATGACACTTTTTGTGTGTTCAGCCATGAATCGGAAGTGGATCAATTTTTTCCGTACTCAACGATGTTCATCCTGCCCTTAAATTTACAGTAGATAAGGAGGTCAATGGTTCATTGCCCTTCAAAGAACTCCTTCCTTGTTTATCACCTACAGGCAGTCTACATTTACGGGTCTCTATACTCGATGGTACTCTGTTTGTCCTAAACGACAAAAGATCAATTTGATTAGGACCTTGACCCATAGGGCGTTAATGATTTGTTCAAATAACACCTTGAAAGATAAAATCAGTTGTTTAACTGAGATCTTTGTGAACAATGGTTATCCGTTGGACATTTTTCAATCGGTTATTCCGGATAAGACTGCCAGGTTCAATAACATCAAACCTGCTTCAGTGGGTAAATGTCCGGTCTATCTTCGTTTACCGTGGTTGGGTAGGATTAGTGAATCCTTCGGCAAGCGTTTTTCATGTAGTTCACGTGAGTGTTATTTTGCAGCGAACGTTCGTGTTGTCTTTCAAACTAAGTCCGTACTTTCATCTATGTGTAAAGATGTTCTACCCCCCCACCCTCATCACATTAATTCTGTTATTTACCATTTTAAATGTAGTTGTGGATGCGACTACATAGGTAGAACGACACAGCGGTTGGACGTTAGAATTAAACAACACGTACCTGCTATAATACTGAATAAAAAATTTTCTTTAGGCGATGCCATTCGTAACACGTATGGGTCTTCGATTGCGGATCACTTTATAAAGAATCCCACTTGTGCGATGGATTTCAGTGTGAACTGGTTTTCCGTTTTGGCCAGAGCACACTCATTATTCCATCTTAAGTTGTTAGAGACGCTGTACATCAGGTCCAGGCGACCTGCTCTTTGTAAACAAAGAGACTATTTGCTTGGACTTGCTGTGCTGTGCTTCTAGCATCTTTGTTGGTTGTGACACTATTTAGAGGTCGCGTGAAAATGAAAAGCGAGAAATAATTAAGGCGAGAAGAGGCTGAAATAATTAAGGCGAGAAGAAGCTATCAAGAAAAGACATACTGAGCGATGTTATTTTTTTAACAAAGAAAAGTGGTAAAGATTTTATTTTCATTTGCGAAGGAAAGTTTTTTTTTTCGCAGAAGATAGGAAATTCGGAAGAACTCGGATCTGTCGAATTAATTTATGCTACTAGTAATGGCAGTAATGAAAATTGGTCAAGTGGCCTACGAAACAGAAGCTGGCAGATAATGTTAATCAGGTCACGTACTGACCGAGAAAGACATCAGCTGAAGGCCACCCAAGAAGAAAGGGAAAAGAATAAACCATTAACTATCCTTCGGAGATATCATTTGGTTTTGGAAAAAACACCTGTTTTATGTTAGACCTGGCCATGATAAGAGTTTGTTACCAGGAGAGATAATTAGCGACAGAATGCGAATATGTCCAGTTAACCACCCACTAGACGCTGGCGAAAATCTCGTTGACATTCGGTTAAGATAGAGGTTAAGGACCATACTACGAGTCGTAGAAGTCTGGTGTCGGGAAGAGAAAGAAAAGAAAAAAAAGACGATAATTTTTTTTCCTTTGAGCGATAATGGTAAACATATGAGAAGGAGGGACGCCCTCTGGGGGGATTGGTGTGAGATACCACTGTGAGAGAGAAGGGAAACCTGTTGACGCCCTCTGAGGGGATTGGTGTGAGATACCAATATGAGAAAGGAAGAATTTGGGAGGACGATACCCATCTAAAGCAAAAAAGCAATGGATTACCAAAAATGGAAAATGATAAATTTTCCTGTCCGAAAACAAAGAAAATCCTTATTGTGGATTTAGAATTATCGAGGAACTCAAACCCGGACAAGCCCACACCTGGTTTTGGTCGGTGTCCATATAAACAGAGTTGCAGCGAGTAGACGGCAGCCAGTAGTTGGAGTTGAAGTTGGAGAGACGCAGACGCAGACAGAGTTGAGCTGGGAGCTCTGAGACCAGCCTCGCAGGAAGCTGACTGAAGATCCACGCATCCCGACTTCGACTTCTAACCAAGAACAATTTATTTTTGAAGAACGACTTAGACTCACACCACCAAAACAAGTTTTACAAATATCGCCAGAAGATACACCAAAAAAACAGTTTCTTGAAAAAAAAAACTTCAGATGTTAAGACTCGCCTAACAAACGCAAAGTGTCACGTATCCATATTAGCGGTTTGGGAGAACGTTCCTGTATTCCAACTAGATATAAAAATATATGTTATTCTTTTTTAACACATTTGAAATTTTCGAGTTGATTTTCTTTTACATATAATTGTGCGGTGTTACCTTTGCTCGGACTCGGCTTGTTACGGCCCGGGACTGATTGATTTCGTCTACCTAAGATCAAATCACAACGTGTGTAGGTT